ATGTCTTGTGGAAAAGAAAGGTGATCAAGTTCCCTGCAGACTAAATTATAATATAGGGCTGGAGAGTTGATATACCTCTGAGGTAGGATAGTGAAAGTGTATTGCTGGCCTTGCGAGCTGAAGGCAAACTGCTTCTGGTGGTCCTTGGAAACAGGTATGGAGAAAAAGGCATTAGCCAGATCAATAGCTGCATACCAGGTACCGGAGATATATTAATTTGCTCAAGCAATGAAACCACAACTAGAACAGCAGCTGCAATTAGAGACATCACTTCGTTGTTTCTGATAATCCACTGTCCTCCAAGATCCATCTATTTTTTGCACTAGCCAAATAGGCAAGTTGAATGGGGATGGGATTGGAATCACCACCCCTGCATCCTTCAAGTCCTTGATGGTGGCAGTAATCTCTGCAGTCCCTCCAGGAATGTAGTATTGCTTTTGGTTTACTATTTTCTAGTTAGGGGCAGTTCTAATGGCTTCCACTTAGCCTTTCCTACCATAATAGATTACTCTACACGTCAGGGATCCAACGTGTCGGTTCTGCCAGTTCCTGAGTATGTCTATTCCAATTATGCATTCTAGAACTGGGAAAATCACTACAGGATGGGTTCTGGGACCCACTGGACCCACTGTGAGGAGGACATGAGCTAAGACTCCATTAATAACCTGACCTCCATACGCCCCCACTCTGACTGGTGGGCCACAGTGACATTTTAAGTCTCCTGGAATTAGTGTCAGTTCAGAGCCAGTGTCCAGTAATCCCCGAAAAGTCTGATTATTTCCTTTCCCTCAATGAACACTCACTCTAATAAAAGGCCATAGACCTCTTTGGGGAAGGCTGGGAGAAAGACTCACAGTGTACTTTTTTTGGCCATGTAGTGGGGTCCTTCCTCAAGGGTACTCAGCCTCCCCTTCATTCAAGCAGCTCTGGGTGTGTAAGTTTGCTCAAATCTGGGAATTGATCGAGAGGCCATGACTCTCTATTCTGGCAATTCAAGTTAGACTGCTGTTCACTTGACCTAGAATTCTTCCGCTTGTACAGATCAAGTAAATATTTAGTAGATTTCCCATCTGTTTTACTCCTAGGGACACCCTGACTAAGTTACTAATGCCATAAGTCCATAGGAGTCAGACTATTGTGATTACTGCTTTGGCTGCTGTCCATTGTGGTAACCATGCCCACTTCGTCTTTGTGGATTGAGTGCCGCCACTTGACCCTTACCACTATGGTGGCAATCAGCACCATCGTAGTTAGGTGTCTTAGTTCCGTTAGGGAATCTCCCACTGTCAAATCTGACTCACATAAAATAGCAATCACAGCAGTCTTCAAGGATGCTGTGGCTTCCTTCACAAATTTGTTTCTCCCCGTTGTGGTGAAAGGTATATCCTCTGGGCCCTCCGTGTGTGGGTCTGTGGGTCCAACCTGATAAATCCACTCTAACACGCCAATTTCCCTAAGTCTTTTGATAACTTCTTCTACAGTATACCAGGACAGGTCTGGTACCTCAGTATGATTTAGTGTAGGCCACCGTGTAATCCACTCTGCAGCAACCCAATCAAATAAACTATTAGAATCTTTTCTAACCTCTTGAGCTGAAACATTTAATGAAGAATCTATGCTTAGTGGGCCCATATTAATAAACTCAGACTGATCCAACTTTACGTTCCGTGCACCATTTTCACACACTCTTAATAGTCATTCCTACACATTCCCCAGGTTTCTGTTTGTACATATTATAAAAGTCAAGCAGTAAGCAGTTCTTTTGGAGTGTGGAATACTACCTCCTTGGTCACACTTTGTACTTCATCTCTTGGGGTTTACTGGGACTTTAGTTATACTTTTAGAAGCAAAAAATGGTGGTGATTTTTCCCCCCAAACATTCAGCGATGTCTTGTAAGGCATCCGCCTCAGGCGATGGCCTAGGTGATGAATCAGATGCTGCCCCAAGTGATATCTCAGGCAAAGGCTCTACAGACACAGCTGGTTTAATCTCATCAGATAGGGGTGGAGGGGCTAATGGATCTGTTGGCAGGAGCAATTCAATGGATTTTAGGGGCTCAGTAACCTCAGTTTCCTGATTATCTGCCCGTATGTCCCCAACCCAAGTTTCAGGATCCTATTTCTTCCCAATCAATGCCCTCACTTTAACTACAGACTCCATTCTAGGTTGGCATTTCAGTTGGCATTGTAATTCAGCCACTGTGGGTTTGGTTTTCAGCAATATCAGCTCTGTTACTACAAGAAATAAGGCTTTCTTTCAGGGCACAAGTGGCAACTTTGAGGTCCTTTATGTGGCTCTTGAGCTTTGACTCTGAAGCCCTGACCTCATCCGTTTCTTTCACTACTTTGTCTAGTGAAAGTAGGACCAACCAACCAGCTTCTTTATACCTCTCATTTTGAGAAAGTTGTATAGAAGTATCAAATATGTGATCACCCAGAGCCTCTCCTCTCACCAATACTTGATCTATTGGTGGTGATATTTTCTGTATTTCTATTGCCACCTCACACCATGGATTAGCAGTACCCTCTTTACCACTGGAAGCAGAGTCATCAACATCTTTACGACTAACCAGACATAAGAACCAATTTAGAAAACTCATTCTTACAATTTTGTTTCTCTAGAATCAGTCTCGGTACCAAATGTCTTAGGCTGGGTTCTCTAGAGAAGCAAAACTAGTGAAGCATTCATAGATAGATAAATAGATACAGAAAAAGAGAGAGAGAGATTTATATCAAGAAAATGGCCGACGCAGTTGTAGAAGCTGGAAAGTCCCAAGTCCATGGGTCAGGCTGGAGGCTTCTCCTGACTCACATTGCTGCAGGGACTGAAGAACCCAAGATCAGCAGGTCAGATGGCAGGCTGCTGGCTTACGGCCTGTGGAGGCTGATGAATCCAAGATCGGCAAGTAAAATGGCAGGATGCTGGCTCAAGTCCCAAGAACCAGAGTTCAGATGATGATGAGCCAAATGCAGGATCCAGAGCAGAGCAAGAGCCAATTAGCTTTGCCAGAAAGTCCATATATATTGGATGCAGGCCATAACCCCAATGAAACTCCCTTTCAGCTGATTGGCTACTCCTAGCAGATCTCACCATGGAGGTGATTACATCATTACATAACCGCCAAACTACATTGTAACTGTCAAACCACTGAGAATCATGGCCCAGCCAAGTTGATAGGCAACCTTAACCATCACAGCATCTAAAAGAGATGTTAGGTGTTGCTTTTAGAATTTCATATCATCATAGCTGGGTGTTCTATTCAACCACTATATTTTGCAGATGAGGCCCAGTGAGGGCACAAGACATTCTTAAGGTCACACAGGTAGAAAATCACATCTCCAGAAGTTGGGGAGACCCCAGAGTTGATCAGCTTGCACCTGATTCTTTGAAAGCTACAAGAAACTTAGGAATGGTGACTGGGTTTGTACTGGAGGTAAGTTGTTGGGGCAGCTAATGCTGGGAAAGGCCTGGCTTGGCATGGCATGTGCCCACCAACTGTGCCAGTGGACATCTGGGCATAGCCCTGACAGGCTGATTGGTTGGGGCCACTGCCCTACACATGCCACCTCTTGCGGGGTTTAGGAAAGGTTTTGGGGAGCAGGCAGGGACTGGCTAGCAGAACTGCAGACAGCTCTGGCAATGGGAATGCAGAGGAACTGGGATACTGAAGGGAGCTCCCAGGCCCCAAAAGGAGTGGACATCAGGAAGGTCAGGTTGGACAAGGGGTGAAAATAGGGAGAATGAAGAGGGCCATACGGGCTGTGGTTAGTGTCTTGAATGGGGTGGGTGGAAGAAGGCATGACATTTTATTGCTCCCTCTTCTTCCTCTATGTACTAATAGAGTCCTGCTTTTTTCAGGGGGTAGAAGGGGGATCTTTTAGGGGAGGCCGATCATAAGAAGATAGGATGGGGGGTCGCGAACGTTGTTGTTCAAAGTGTCATTTCCAAGGCCTCAGCTGATGAATCTCTCAGGGAGAAAGAAAGAACTAAGGATAGGGCTGGTAAACCAGATTCCCGGCCTCTGTACTGCAGCACTGTACTCTGTACTGCAGCAGAGAGCCCGGGCGTCAGGGCGGCGAGCGACGGGGACTGGGTGGTCGCTGGGGCTGACCTCGGGCCGGGCCCAGGGACAGGGGAGACCGTGCCGCACTGAAGGCAAGACGATGTCAGTGAGACTCAGCTAGGCCCAGGCAGGCAGCCTTCCTCGGTCAATCAGCCGCCTTAATCAACACCCTCAGGCGCAGGGAACTGTTTCGGCACTGTACAGAGGTCGGACGCCGCTCAGAGCAGCGCAGGGAGGCGAAAGCGACAGCCCGGGCCGTGGCAGAGCACGCAGCAGTGGTCCCGCCTGGGCAGAAGGCCGGAAGACGGTGTTGGTGGGGGCTGGTGAGGAGGCTGAAAGGCAGAGGCTGAGTGGGCGGGGCCGGGCCGCCGCGGCGCTCGCGGG